TTAAATACAGGAGGAAAATATAGTTACACTATACACACTTGAAAGTGAGTAGAGCGTAAAATTCAATATTCAGGAGATATACTATGGACTTCCCAGCGGGCAAAATGACGTTTATCCAACGTTGAATCAACGTTGGAAATGACCTTCCAGACGTTGGATAGACGTTGAAAAAGGGTTGACTATGCAAATTGGATCGACGTTACTGTTTCGACGTTGAAACAACGTTGAAATTAGGTTGCCAATCTCGTCAACCATAATTCAACGTTGAATCCACGTTAAAACAACGTTGAGATTGGTTCACAAATCGACGTCGTACATTTAACCATGCATGAATGAACGTTGATTCAACGTCTGTTGGCTGCTGTTGAACCAATGTTTGTAAAACAACGTCAGAGCAACGTAGATATTAGGTTGTTGACGTCGCAACCTTTTTTCTACCTGAAATTTCAACGTTGAAACAACGTCGTGTGCCCGGTGGGTTCTAGTTAAAGTTTCCTCGGTGTCAGGCGAGTCTTATAAGGCATGGTCAACATCAGTAAGCCGATAACAAAATTAAACTGCCTATTCTCACTGGTCCATGCAAGTCCCCCAGTTTAGCGCTCTAAATAGTGTCTTTTTCATTCATGACTCATGGTAACAAAACCGCGCTGCGAGTACTTTCATTCATTCATTCGTGCAATCACACAATGATGGGCCGGCAATTTATTTTAATTAATGCAAGCCGACTGCAGCTATAATAGACGGCCAACATGTCACTCGTTTCCATTTTTTATCGGCTGGACGATTGGTAAAATAGTCTGGTCTGGATCTATCTCGTCTCGTGCGCTGTAGGGAAATCATTCTTTACTCGATTCAGAGTTTAGATCTACCTTGCCAGATATGTTCAGTACTGACAGTTACTATACTAATGAAAGCAAAATACGTCTCGGTAGTCAGACTGAAGGCTAGTCTCAGGGTTTATTTTTAACGTGCAGTTTTATACAAAATGTGCAGTTCTAAACCCATTTCGGTGCAGTTCTCAAAACTCAAATGTGCAGTCACCAAACTAACAAAAATAGCCTCAATTAAAACAAGTCTTCTCATTTACTCGTTACCTTTGTGGATGCTCCAGAAAATTCCAGAATTGCTGTCGTTAATTGAGCATCAAAAATATAAACTTTTCTGGGGGAGGACTCCAGACCCTCCTAAGCTCCTATTTTCCTCACAGATCACTTACGTGCTGGCGTAATGGAAAAGAAGGTAGTCAGGGACGCCGGAACTAGGGGGGCAGGAGGGGCAGCCGCCCCCGTTGCCCTTTACCAGGAGGGGCAAGGGGGGCAAAGGTGCCCTTTCAATTTCAAGGATTGCTTTGGCAAAATAGGGAATTGTCAGAAATGTTAGGGCAATTCTTTTACGAATTTGCTTCGGAAAACGCAAGAAATGCAGTCATCGAGCTTCAAGAATAGCACAATCGCCTGGCGGAGAACCCCCTCACAACCCTATCATCCAATAAATAGAAAACATGATTAGGCGAAGTTCAACTCCCGATGTTTTGCAAACATCTCTTTGTATATATCAATTCAGAAGTGCCCTTTCACGAAAATCTGCCCCTCCTTGCCTTCACATCGTTCCGGCGTCCCTGAAGGTAGTAAGGGAATCATGAATTCTGTTGTTGGCTTCCCAGATACATTCTATTGACTTTTGTTATAATTGACAATCGACATGTATTAGAAATTAAATTAAATTAAAACTTAAAAGAGATTAGATTGGGGTAACCTAATATTCATTGCTGCCTCAAATGCAAATTTAAGGTTGTTATATATTGAATACATATCCATGATATATGATATATATTGAATACATATGCAGGTATAAAATCTGATCCTTCGACCCCCACATCAAACACCCGTTGCCTTCGTAACATCCATATATGCGCAGTTCTAAATTTTTCTTAAAATAATCCCTGCCACGGATAATTTTCCTGAGTGGAAACTAGCCTTGAGCTCAGATTGATGACTTTATGCACTACCCGGATACTGCTATCCGTACTGAATGATAGATGCGTAGCTATAAAGCCATTGAGAGCCGAGTGGTAGTCAAATCTGAACTTCTCTACTATAGGGCCATGGAACCTTTTCCCCATGTTATGTTATAAAATTATCAGGGTTGGCTGGAACTGGAAAATAAATGAGACAATGGTGTTTCTTTAAGTTGTACGAACGCGTTGTGGTGTAGCAAAGACCATTATTTCGTTGTGAAAATTTTTGTTTTAGCTTTCGTTGGCAGGCCGGGACTACCTGAAAAATATAAGGAGAATTTCAATTACATTTATTGCACACCTAAAAATTATGAATTTAACTACCTAACGGAAAGGTCTGGAGGTCCAACCCTACTCACCCGGCCTTATAATTTCCAGATGCGTTTGCGCATTTTTCGAAATGCCATTGTTACGATCTATATTTATGGATCCACTGTCAATCCACGAACAATCTCGCATAGTCCGTAGACTTGGGGACCGATCGTTTATTACGTCTCAGGGGGGGAGGGCGGCGGTGGTTTTTGAGGGGTTAATTTTTTAAATATGGCTATTTTAGGGGGGGGGTAGCCTTTTCAGTTCCCAAAAGGAAAAGGGGGGTGTTAAATTTTGAAATTGCAAACGATTCTTAGATATTAAAATGACTTTATGAGATATTCAAAATATATCTACCATTTAATTTTGAATTTGAAAAAAGAAAGAAAAATACAAACTAATCAAGCAAGATTGCGCCATTGTGTGCAATTTTTGCATAGAGAAGACTGGAATCTAGTTCTTAGCATTGAACTCTTAGTTCAAAGTTTAGTTCAGTGGTTCTTAATGACTTCAGTGGCGTAACGTTATATCAGGGGGCCCCCGGTTCAAACTTTTCGAAGGCCCCCCTAGTATAGAAGTGCCAAAGGCACAAGTCGAGCGCCGTATATGCACGAGTTTTCTAGTGGGTCCAGGGCATGCTCACCCGGAAAATTTTTGAATCTAGACTCTCTGAAATGCCATTTCCCGGACTCTAGGGAGAGATTTTACACTGAGAATTCTGATTGTCAGAAAACGGCATTGTTGCTCTATAGGCTATAGCCTGAGCTTGGGGGCCCCCATTGGGGTTGGGGGCCCCCGGGTTCTCCCGGTCCGAGCCCATAGTAGTTACGCCACTGAGTGACTCTGCTGAACGGAATGATAATTTGGCGGCAGCCATCGTGTCAAACAGGGCTAAACCATTGAACTATAAATAAACTGGAAGGCTAACTCAAGGGGGATTGAAGCCAGTGCATTTTAGTTTTTCTTAGTTATGAGCAGAAATACTCAACACTGAACCAGGGTCTTAGCTAGGATTTTATATCTTGGGCGTGTTTCTAAATGACCAAGGTGTGCACATGTCACTGAATTACCTTGAATAGCCAAATTCACGATTCTAGTTATGCTCGCCAACAACAGACAATGCATGTGGTTGTTCTATGCTTTGGAACCAAATACAAGGCGAGCATACGCTCATATTGTGCACTGACATTAAAATACAACTGGGGGTATTTAAAACCATTTTACAGTAACACCGTATCCATCAAAACATTAAAACATCACGGATCAGTTTTGCCAATTTCAACATCTACTGTACAGTAGATTTTACAAACTTTCTTACGACGTAAATAGGAAGAATTTGTCTTTGTTGCAAGCAGTAACACTTTATTTTACAAACCCGGCTACACTGTACACGGCCTTATATAAATAATGAAGCCGCGTTCATTTTATCTAGCCGTGCCAGTTTTTCATTTTTGGCCGTGATAACACGGCCAACACGGCCCTCTAGATAAGACCCTGCACTGAACGTTGGACTATATATCAAATTGAAGCCATTGAAAAACGCTATTTGGTGTAGAAATTTCAAGACTTTCGCTAAAAGGGAAATATTGAAAAACTACAAAAATAATTGCTGATAATTTGCCATTTTGCAGTTGTTTTTGTATTTTTTAAATATTTTTCTTTTCGCTGAAGTCTTGAAATTTCCACACCGAATAGCAATTTTCAATAGCTTCAATTTGATATATAGCCCAACGTTTGGAATAAAGTATTTCAGTGCTCATAACTCAGAAAAACTATTTTGGCTTCATCAAATCATAGGCCTTCGAATTCATCATAGCAGTTTATTTATACTTCAATGGGCTAAACTAGTGCCCAGTCTTTCTATTAGCGCTTCCTCATCACGAGGCCTAGTAATTCGAATCATTGATGCACTGAGGTTTGATGCCTAGAAATGCCTAGTGCGATTGGGGGGGGGGGTATATTTTTAATCTATATAGTTAAACAGGGGCTCATTTGTTCATTTCCAAAAAATATAGGGGGTGCATATTTTATTGATAATGTTTTTAAACCCCCCCCCCCCCCCTGAGACGTAATAAACGATCGGTCCCTTGGTTCAAGCTGTCTTGTTTGTTGCGTTTCTAGTACGGGTGTGCTGTGTCTGCTTTTTCCTCACGCGACTGCGCGGGAAATTTTGGAATGTAAAGTGTAAACAAAGGTTACAAAGATGGAAGGATGCAACGTTGTCAAAATAATGTCGGATATCAATATACTATATATAATTTACAGGGAATTATGTTGTTACTCCGCTGTGACATGAATTGGTACAAAATATGGAAGTTCTTTAGTCAACTATGTAGATGATTTGCATATAACATGTATGTTAATATCCTGCAAATTGTTTTCATTTTGCGGTAACGAGGACAACGACGGCCTTTTGTTTATTAAAATCCAGCAATTATATGAGGAAATCGTCAAGCTATATTATTATTTTGGTAAAAGACGGTAAAAGGCAATCCTGTGGGACCCATTGAGTAGCATTGAAATGTTCATGTCACAGGTATTATAAAGTGCTATTATCTGTTTGCTATTAAGTTCAGATTTCTAAATGTCCCATGAGTGCTTTATATTTAACAAATATACATTTCCCAAATGGGACTATATGTAGCGTAGATTGTAGATTAGTGTTAGCAAGGAAATGTTCAGTGCTGTCGAAGATGGAGATGTTAATAGTAGAAGAAAGCGCAGAACAGAGCGAAAATGGGCAAGGTATTGTAGATTTAAAACATCTTTCAAATATGTTAATATGGGACAAGTTAGTGTTTACACTTATCCGATTGTCTTATGCACCCAAACGTTGTTAGGCACCTTTTACACTGCAATTTTTACTTGTTTGTTATATATTTTGACAGAGTTGTATCAAATTATATACAATTTTCATTCTGCTTCTACCCATTTCTCCGCGTTTTCAAAATTTTATTCTAGTTTCTACAAACGGATTATAATTTTCAGCTGTCTTACAAATTTCCTAGCGGGAATGATACATCTGCATGTTTTAAGTTTTATGAATTTTTTTAATTGGAGGGGCAAAACCAAGTATTTACCTGTATTTTAATAGGAAACATGTTTTTTTCCCCAATTATAGTGCTTCTCAGCAACCCAAAGCACTTTTTGTCACACCTACTGTACTATAAATATAAGACATATATAACAAGAGTCAATGAAACAGGTCTGCTGCACATGATCTTTGTGTACTTACAGTAAGGGTTAAGAAGTCTTGCATTATGAAAGCCAAGGCCTGGTGCTGGAAGGGTTACATACTAATAATAATAGTAATGATAATTATGGTATTTATATAGTGCCCATACATTGCTATTCTAAGCGCTACTACTATGAATGAAGTATACTTACTGCATGTGAATGAAGTATACTTACTGTGAAGACTACAGAATGTTTAATTCAAATGAATGTTTGCGTCAAGATGCCATGTGTCATTATAATCACAAAATCATTATTAGACGTGAACCAACCTTGAGACAACCAGACTCTCAAATCTGTGCTTCTCTTCTTGTAGAATAATTTATGACTAGAAATCAAGTAAGACCCTGCCAAGTATTCTCCTTGAAGTTGCTATCCCCCAAATGTTGAGTGAGACAATAACTATTTTTATCCTGTTTAACTGTTTTACACACTTTTTGTACACAGCTTTGATTATTAATGTATGAGCTTTGCATGGCTGTTGAATTCTCATTGTTTATCTTTGTTCTTATGACTTCTTTGTTCTGTGATGATGATACACACATTAGTATTAAGGGACCGGCCATTAATAATGGGTGGGGAGCATGGGTGAGATAAGGGAGGCGCTTCAATTATTTTTGCCTGAATTGGGAGCGGCCTCAAACTGAAAAATATGTGACAAGGGGCGACCCCAATTTTTTAATACTTTCCTACTCATTTTCAAAATATTTAGTTCCTATAATTGTAGTTTCCGTAGTTTGTTACGTGTGGTGATGCAGTTCACCATAGGAATCGGAGTAATTTATAACAACCTTTTTGAATACTGGTCCCCAGTACTTGTCCCATTACTTATTTTACACCAAAAAATGTAACGAACTAAATGTTGATTTTTCTTTCTGTGTTGGTGTACTAAATGTTGGAGGGGGTCCTACGTTTTCTAGATGAAGGTGGGGGCGTCTTGAAAATAAAGGTCTTGCAATTGGGGGCGGCTCTAAAAAAGTTCAATATTTGGTATTTATCACCCACCGCCTCCCACCCCCCTCCCATTATTAATGGCCGGCCCCTAATTTAGTTTGCAGTGAAGTTCTAACTATTCAGAATTTTTTTCTGGCAAGCTTAGATCCCCTGCGCTTGCCTCAATCTTGGACAACCTCTGATGCACCCAGTTGCTATTATCCCAGAAGCCTGTCATAGGTCTCAGCATAATTATACTTATATAATATATATAAATTATATATTATATATAGTAAATAAGTATAGTAATGGTGTCATGCGAGCATGGATCATGTCCTTTAAAACAAGTTCTGAATGATTTTGTATACATCTTTGTCATTTTAAATGTAGAACTTGGATCAAGAGAAAACTCCACATCTGTGATTTTCTTCAAAATAGAGATGAAAATTAGATTGATTTTCTGCTGATTGCATGTGCATGATGGTATATGAACTCCCTCTTATTAACGATTTGTCCTGTATATATTTTCAGATATGATATCTCTAAAGGTGAACAAAATTGACAGTGTATCACCATTAAGAAATGGCCTTGCACTGTCTCCAAGGAAGAAGCAACTTCGTTCAAAGTCAACAGGATCGTTAGGTTCACATGCAAGTGGTTGGGATGCGGTGAGTCGGAGATTTTATGTTCGTATATAATGTCTCTGTTTGTATGTAAAAACTCATCTTAAAGACTTAAACGTGATCTACAGTCCGATCTGCGCATGTGCACAAAGGAGCCCACTTTTTATGATACAACAGTTTAACTATGTTTTGGGTTCTTGCAAAGCCTGATTGTTGTTTCTTGATTATTTATTATACTCTAGAAGCTTGAAAATATAAATAGTTGTTGAATAAAGCTCAATATTTTGGACGCAAAAATGTAAACAAAGGCTTTGTTTACATACGGACTGTAGATCACCTTTAAAATATCCAAGATATATACTATAGTAAAGTAGTATAGACTAACCTCTGAAGTCGCGACAAATTTTTCACTGTGTCCAATTGAAATACCGCAGATCCTGTTGACATTAACTGACAATTGATTCTTTATTATTTCGCGCTTCAGTATTTTATTTTTTCATTTGCGTATATTTTCTATGTCAAATTCGAACTGCATTAAGCCCATGGCGGTTAGATTGATAAGCACAACTTACCAATCAAAATCGTGTATTTAAGGTTATTATACTACTATCGTTATTAAAAACTAAACTAAAAAGTTTATTAAAAAGAAAATTAAGAGTCTTATACCCAGGTTGACAATCTTGCCAAGATCCCAGCAAGATCTTGACAAGATCTTACCCAAGATCTTACCAAGATCATGCCAAGATCTTACATAAATCCTGCAAGATCATGGAAAGATCTTGCATGATCTTGCAAGATCTTTCCAAGTTCTTGCAGGATCTTACCTAAGATCTTGCAGGATCTTGCAGGATCTTGCAAGATCTTGCCAAACATCTTGCAAGATCTTGCCATGATCATGACAAGATCTTGCCATGATAATGGCAAGATCTTGCAAGATCCTGCAAGATCTTGGGTAAGATCCTGCAAGAACTTGGAAAGATCTTGCAAGATCATGCAAGATCTTTCCATGATCTTGCAGGATTTATGTAAGATCTTGGCATGATCTTGGTACAAATCCTGCAAGATCTTGCCATGATAATGGCAAGATCTTGCCATGATAATGGCAAGATCTTGCAAGATCTTAGGTAAGATCCTGCAAGAACATGGAAAGATCTTGCAAGATCCTGCAAGATCTTAGGTAAGATCCTGCAAGAACTTGGAAAGATCTTGCAAGATCATGCAAGATCTTTCCATGATCTTGCAGGATTTATGTAACATCTTGGCATGATCTTGGTACAAATCCTGCAAGATCTTGCCATGATTCTCCAAGATCTTACCACAAATCCTGCAAGATCTTGCCATGATCCTCCAAGATCTTACCAAAATCCAGCAAGATCTTGCCATGATCTTGCCAAAAATCCTGCGAGATCTTGCCATGATCCTCCAAGATCTTACCGAAATCCAGCAAGATCTTGCCATGATCCTCCAAGATCTTACCAAAAATCCTGCGAGATCTTGCCATGATCCTTCAATATCTTACCAAAATCCAGCCAGATCTTGCCATGACCCTACAAGATTTTACCAAGTTCGTGGCAAGAATACATGGCAAATACAGAATGAAGAGGCTCTACATGAAATATACTATACTCTGGATATAACTTTGATTGAATTTATCAAACTAACG